TGCGCCTTTAGCTGAAGTTTTGGCTTCAGCATTTTCTTGATTGATGGAATATTAATTAGGGATTAAATGTTATATTTCCGCTTTATCTTTTTGCATTTACGTGTGGAAATATTAGGGTTTCTGGTGAGCACATCTAATAAGGAAAGCTCACATCTGATTTGTTTTATTTCTCGAATCAGTTTGGTTTTCCAAGCTGGTTCTCTGTGTCTGTTGATTTTATTTATTGTCTTGACTCCAAGCTTCCGAGTCGCTGCTAAAGCTGTTGCGTATATGACGTTGTTAACTTCTGTGATGTTTCCCGGTGGTTTATCTGTTAACAGTGTTTCCAGAGCAGCGTTTTATATTTTCACGATGTGCATGTTGGAATTTGTCATATGGATTTTGGGGAGCTGGTCTCTGTCTGACAATTGTATGAAAGTTACTCTGCTGAGTACTTGGATGACGTCATTTTTCGCTTCGGTGATTTCAGCTTAGTGGTTTTCTAACTTATTGTCACTGAAGATGACTCCAGGTACATTTTCCGGAGGACTGCAGGTTGTGTTTAAGGTAGTCTTGGGTTTCATTTCCTGGGAGATTATTTCGTATTTCATTCGCTTTAGCGTCCACCACATCCTCTGTTGCATTCCTTATTTCTACATTTGTCTCAATAGAGTTTGAGTGATGGGTCATAGTATTTTGTCTTATATCTAATTTTATCTTATCTATTTCTGCCTTTGAGAGTCTGTTGTTTCGCAAGATGTCCCTACGGACATTGGCAAGCATGTTTGGATTGAGGTTAGGTCTTATATCATTTCCCATCGAACTTCTCCATATTTGGTATTTTTGATTGGTGGTGTTCTTTGCTGGGTTTTCGAGTGCAGTGAAGAAGGATGTCATGACTTGTCGATACTCTTCGCGGCTCCATTTCGTTCGTTTACTTTTTATTAGTCGATTTGGTATTGAGTCACTTGGTCCAAGGTTGGCAATAATCCGGGTTTGGTGACCAAGTGTCTCTTCGTGTGTGGAAGAGTTTGTTCCAGTGGCAGACTTTTCATCCTCAGACTGGTTCCTCTGTGAGGGACGCGGCCCTTGTTGTCCTGGTTGACGGCCGATCCGGTATGAAATATTATTCGTATTCATTGAAATTGGTAGAGATGCGTTTTAACCTTGACCACCAAGGGGTAATTATGTTCAGCTTACCAGCTGTAGGACGAGTCTCGAAGAAGATCCAAGAGCACGCCCAAACAATGAGATTGTGGATTTATTAATATAACGAAGGTAGAATAGTTCATAAGAGTGTATGGTATTCAGTGGGGTAGACTATAAAAGTTTTAACTTAGTGTAAGTCGGAGAGACCACTCCAAGGGGGATAAATAGATTTTAGTATAGAGACTTAAAAAAAAATAATACAATATGATCCCTGTCAATGCGGATACATACACATGTAAATTATATACGTATACACACACACACACACACACACACACACACACACACACACACATATATATATATATATATATATATATATATATACACATACAAGGGAGAGAGAGAGACAGATATTAGTAAACATGTACACATATACGCAACGACAGAGACATGGGATGCTTAAAGTAAGAGAAAAAATATTATTATTATTATTATTATTATTTTCTTTGATTTCTGGCATTTACACATTTCTTTCCGGGTCCCGTCTAGGGACCTAAGGTTAAAAATGACATCATAACACTTTCCACTGACAAAAAAAAAAAAAATATTACATAGATAAAGTCCTTCGTAAAGTGTACTTGTCAGAACAATTTTTTGTATCTCCTTGAGGCATGGACTTCCAGGAATCCCTTCAATTAGTCTACTGGAATGTTTTCCAACCAGTCCTAGGGCTCCAACTGCAACAGGCATTGTTGATGTTCCTATATGCCACATTTATGAGATTTCTATTTCAAGGTCCTTGTATTTTGACAGATTTTTGAATATCTTCAAAGATATTATTATTATTATTATATAATTCCCTGTTTAGAAAAACATGCTGATCTTGAATGACATACTCACAAACTTTCGTCCCTTATACCCAACGGTAATCTTCTGGTGTCTTTGTTCATGGCAACCATCTTGTAATTTTGAACCCGAAACCTTTATTTAATCCACAAGGCTCACTTATTCTAATTTAGCCTCCCATACATCGGAAGATTTCTTATATAGGCTATTATTAACCGGTCTCGTTAATCACTGTGACGTTTTTTCATTTCTTTTATAACTGCAGAGTATGTGAATTTTAGACACGACCTAATCCAGGTCTTGAACTCACAACAGCTGGAAACGTGTTGGTCAGAATAGGAAAGCATAGAATAAATTGCTTAGATTTTTGTAACTTATTTAATGGATTAAAAAGTAGAAATAAAATAACTTCTTTTTTCCTCAAAATTGATAAATATTTTATTCCTAACTCGTCATGATTCATCGCTGAATTCCCTTTAATACTACTTACTAGAAACATATATTTTCTTTATTGCGATTTTTTCATTGGCTATACTTCCTGTTTTCGCTATGAGAATTTTAAATCGTTATTAGGTGTCTGCCTCAATTTCCACCATGCTAGAAGTTATTTTTGAAGAATCAGACGATAAGAAAATTTCTTGTGTAGACTGTGGATGAAATTGGAAAACACTTAAAATGAAACGTTCAACAGTTCTACTCATTGCATCTAACTTGTCACTACAAATGCGATTCGATTCTCTTATCTCAACAATGTCGTGACCGGAGGATATCTGTAATGTCCGCTGGCAACAACAGAATGAAAAGGAAAGTAAACAATGTATAGTTGTGATTAAATTATTGATACGTAGAGAAAATTCACATAGCAATATTCTGACCTTCTGAAAGCGAGGCTGTAAAAGAATAGGTCTCTTAGAAAGCCACGAGAGCCAAGCAATTTTGCTTCTAACTAAAAGCCGAAAAGGTCTGGAGGTGTATTTGATTATATCACAATTTCAATGTTGAAATTCATAGATATATTGTATGAAACGGAATGTCTTTTTACCCATTACTTATTTATCTATCTAGGAGGTACGGTGGAGTAATGGATAGCGGCTTGGATTGAGGAATCGGAGAGCCGAGTTCGAATTCCAGTCGAATCCATTACATTCACTTATGTGCTAATACCCTTGGGAAAGGTATGAATCGTCTTCATCCTCCCGGCGAGGCATTTAAATACCAGGTTGGAATCTGGCGCGCGATTGTCTTTCTTAGATGAGGGTGAATGGAGTCTCTCTGAGCCTTGGTTGGCAATCCATTTAGTGATGGTGTCACGATAAAAAACACCCTTGATGGCCCTAGCGAAGTATCAAGAATTCAGCTATTGACAAGATTATGAATTACACCAATCAAAGTATTGAAGATAGCGACTGGAAAGGTGTAATGAGTTCAATCTCGGCTGAGGCCGCAATATAAATAAAATTTATCTATCCACGTATCTACACCCGTGTTCAAAAGAGCTGCTTTCGCTGGTTCCCAGACTTCATGAATTGTAGCCGTTTCTTCTACTCCAATAGCTTCATATCTCGCACCTCTCGCTTGTGGAACTCCCTTCCCTATTCCATTTTCCCTGAGAGCTATAATCTCCAACTATTCAAATGTAATGTCAATCGACATCTCCAGTTGCCTTGATCTATCCTCATCTTTTCACTCCATCACTCTTATCTGATCTTGCTCCAAATCTTCTTTAACCCCTTGCGTCCTAGTGGCTTCCCGCCTTGCTTGGGATGAAACGCTCAAAAAAAATAATTGAAACAACCGCTTTAGTATCTGTCTATATTTCTGAGATGAGGTATTATGTACATTATTTACATTATTCGGACTATTGTCCTCATCTTTGTCGCCATATTTATTACAACGTTTCAGCCGTTGTACGTCCCAGCCTTTTTCAGGTGTTTAGAATGTCGCACTTAACCCTTTATTTCGCTCACTGGGGTAGACTGTTCTAGTTCCCCGTGCCATGTTTAATGGATGTCATTTATCAGTTATCTCTTGTTAATTCCCCTCTCCAAGTTCTCCGCTGCCTTAACCGGGTATTGAACTCACACTCTTTGGGTCCTGTCAATGGATCTAACGCCTTTATCCACTGTGCCATGTGACCTTGAGGACAACATAACTGATAACTGACATCCATTAAACATGGCACGTGGAACTAGAACAGTCTACCTCAGTGAGCGAAATAAAGGGTTAAGTTCGACATTCCAACCACCTGAAGAAGGCCAGAGCGTACAGCGGCCGAAACGTTGCAATATATATGGTGACAAAAATGAGGACAATAGTTCGAATAATGTAAATAATGTACAACCGCTTTAATTTCTTTTCTTTCACATTACGGCCAGTTATAGTCCCACTGGGGTGACAAGGAGTTATCAATTTTTATTTTTCCTATGATTAGGTTATTTGCAGTGGTATGCAGGAATATGAATCTATTTTCGGAGTCTATGATGAAATTTGTTTGGCTTTGAAAAATATTGCGTCATGCGTGATGGCGTCAGGTTTTCATCATGCCCAGACATTGTTGTCTCGAATATCGATTAGTTGTCCTACGGTCATTTTCTGCGATGGACGTTACGCCAAGGAAGCGTACAAAAATTATACACACTGGAAAGCTTTACCAGTGAGCAAATCGACTGGCATTGAAAACTCTCCTGATTTAAATTCAATCGAGAATCTGTGGTCAATCTGTAAGGAACGCCTTCGTTGAATGGAAGCACTGGGTCATATTTCATTGGAAAAATACGAAAAAAAGTAAATAATAACGGAATTATTCGTTTTTTTTCAGTTAATTTGCACAAGGGTGTTTATTCCTTGTGTATCGGTGAAGTTTTTTTCAATATGTAGACGATTATGGTTCTCCACAGCTTCTTCATTTTTGTTTCTATCGGCAATACTTGATCATTTACTATCCTTCATAGACTTTGTTGTGGTTGTTACCACATCTGCTCAAACTTTTCAAATACATTTTCGGCCCTGTACACTGCCTTTGAGTATTGAAACACCGGTTCTCCTACGATCACCGAAGTTAAACAACGTCGAGCCTGCTCAATTTTTAGATGGGTGACCGTTTGTGAATACCAGATACTGTAAGCTTGGGTTTGCAGTGGTTTTATTAGATAACGGCTCGGAAATGGAATCCCGGAAGGTTTGTTTCAATTCCACTCGGGTTTGTTATATGCACTAATGCGGAAATACCTTTCAGAAATTTGTCTTTTCTCCCGACTATGTATTAATTAGTAAGACTTGTATCATTACCTCCAAAACAATTCATCCAATCTAAAAAGAAAAGAAAATATTTTCTTGCTTTATATAACCTGCAAAAGGTTGACAAGCCGTAAAAAACCAAATCAGTCAAGCCTCAGAGTGTTAAAGCCTATAACGCTTACTTCCTTCATCATGAGTACCGAAATTTTCAGTTATTTTTAATTGCTAGTCAGAAAGGTGTTATCTCTCTGGGTAGGCGATCGCAATGTGCATTACCTTTACGAAGAGCAAGAAAACCATTACCACGCGTTCACCCAAGCCTTCTGAATGAAATTGGGTTGACGCAAATATTTGGGAGCTCTCGATGGCTGTGCTAGCATGAAGTCACAAGTCATCGTGACTGAGGTCGTGCTAAATTAGTTCCGACTGTTGATTATGCCAGATTATTCATTCTCTCTTAGAAACTTTAACTGAGGTCCGCTCAGCATAGTTGCAGTATAAACGACAGATGTGAGTGTTGGACCAACAGAATGTTCCAGAGCAGACGTCTGCAACAGGGGTGGGCTAACCGCCCTAGAACCCAGGCGTACTCGGATACGAGAGGCTAACCATTAGAAATATATAAATAACTGTCTATATTTAGAGAACAGATTATTTGAACTTTACAGACTTTAGTTCAAATTGTTTCGAAAAGATTCGATGTTTTATCCGTATTCATATTCAGAAGTTTGACAAGAGCAAAATGCAGCATGTTTACAGGATGATTCATGTTGTGGTGTACTCCATCTATGTTAGACTCATCCGCCTACTTTAAGATTAGTAGGACATAAGGCTTTGAGGGATATATCTGCAAATCTTGGAAGTAAATGGTTAAGTAATAACAAAAATCAGTTTTGCAGATATATCGTATATTAAACAGTAAGTACACCAGAAGAGTATTACACGGCTAGTAAGAGTGTATAGATTGAACTAGCGCTCAATCTATTCATTGTTATATTTAACAGCACCCCCTCCCACGAAGGATGTATGTGGCACAAGGCCGAGTTTACCGTAGGTTAACCGAGCCCGTAGGCTCGGCCCAAAATATTCTCTTAGAACCCGCATAAACGGGTTCACGGTCTGTCTACCTCCCCGGGCGAAACTTTTCCCTGCGGTAAAGCCTCGTCCGGGTTCCTCTCTGCTCAAGTCAGAGAGTTCGACAGCTGAACAATCTATTCACTGTTCCCCGAAGCCTTTTATCCTACTAATCTTATAGAAGGCGGAAGAGTCTAACATAGACTCTTTAGAGGGAGGAAACAACAACAATTGATTTTAAAATATCCAGTATATTCGTGTAAAATTAAAAGAACCTAAGTAGACCAGGATCATAATGAACAATTTTGCCGCTTAAGACAGGTGCTTAATTCTTTGAAGATATCGTAAAAAAACGTTGTCAAAGAAGAATGCTACAAAGTTATTTCCTTTTGTTTGCTGAACATTAACCATTTGAAAGCCTCAAACGTTATTAACAATATATCTGAAATATATGTAAAATTCTGAAGGAATTGGCAAACAGCATGCTGTACTGCTTGGTATTCGTGCTGGAAGTTCCAATACGAACATTTCAGAATGTTTGGGTGTCAACCTCAGATCAGTACAGAGGATGAGTCTAATGGTGAGTACGAAGATACGGAAGCACGGAACACTCACATGCCCTGCGTCAAGACGATGGTTGCTGGAAGACCGTATGTCTGGCAACAGGACTGCACCATGGCATACAAGCAGAAGAACTTAGTTATGACTGTCAGACAATTTCTGCGGCCACATCATTCCTTACATATGGTCACTTAAATTTACAGACTTGTAAACCCCTTGATTATTATGTGTGGGGTCAGTTGGGCAAAAGACCAACAAAACTCCTTGTAAGAACAAAGATGAACTGAAGGCAAGGCTTATGGCATCATTCAACAATTTAAACAAGGAGACCGTCCAGAAGAGTTGTAGGAGATTCCGAAGTCTTCTGGAAGCCGTGGTTGAATCCAATGGCGATTTTGTTGAATGAATTTAATGTTTAGTATTTCAAGATATTTTTGTGTCATTTTGATAAATATATCTGTTAAAATGAGATGTTATTTTCATTCTTGCGTAATTTAGACGGCAATTTATCCATCGCACCCAGCATAATTATTTACACATTCGGTTTTAGCTTTGTCTGATTTTGTTTTATTTCTTCTCAAGTAATTAAACAAAAAAATGTCTAAATACTTGTTATAATTATAATTTATCATGAAACTGCAGATAGCCCTATACTATTTCAAAGATTTTATACGCTTCATTTTAGAAGCTAGGTGCATAAAATATCTTTTGAAAAACGGGTAACGAACTCCTTGTCATAAAAGAGTGAAAACTGTTTTATAAATCCAACTTAAACAATCAACCAATGGCTTAACAAGTGGTCGATGCAGTTTACTTCGATGAATCGTAAAAGTTATCTAGATTTATATGGACTAAAAAAATGAGCAAAGAAATGAAGTAAAAACATGGAATATAAATATTCAGCATTTATATATCCTCAGCGGGATGCTAAAAGGATGTAAATGCATTTTTGGGAAATGGGACAAACACTTGAACGATAAAATAATTCGAAAAGGAATATATAATATGATTTTTTTAAAAATTGGGATCTAAGTTCTCAAAAGGTCTTTGCATCAGAATATTGTCTACGTAATTCTTATAAAGATCATTTTCTATATTTCAAATATGGAAAACATGCAAAAAAGCCATTAGAATAACGACGACGAAAGTTATAAATAAAAAAAACGATTTCTTGATTTATTTCTAATAAATGTAGTAACAGTAACCGACGGTTCGTGGCCGAGTGATAAGTTGGCGTTCATCGATGGCTGTGCTTGCACTAGTCATCGTGACTGAGCGTTTGAGTGTGCTGGACTTGTTCAGATTGTTGATCACGCTAAATAACACGCTCTCTCCTAGAAACTGTACCTAAGGTCTGCTATGTATAGTTGCTGTATAAACCACAAATGAAACACAAATGCGCCTGAGCAAGCGTCTAAAATAGGTATTAGCTAGCCGCCCTAGTAGAAGGGTATCCTCGAATACGAGTCCCCATCAATAATAGTATCAGTACCACAATGGATGAGGCCAATTATGACATTATCTTTGAGCATTGGACACAATGATTAAATGTCTGATTCCCTTCTAAGGGATAGGGAAAATAATTTTGTAGGTGTTGAACTAAATTAAATAACTAAATATTTTATTTTATTTTTAATTTGATGCATTTCTTATTTCCATTTTTCTTTTCTGTTTAGGACCATATATACTATTTTTTAATTATCACATGGAATTTTTGTTTAATAAAAATATTTCAAATACGACTTCCAAAACTTTGTCTTTAAAATAAAGTATGTCTTATACTCGGAAAAATACGGTAAATACAAATTTCAACATTGAACGAATGTAATCCTCGGCAACTGCAAATAAGTCGCTATGGACAAAACACTGCTAAAACAAGCTTAAGGCGAAATCGTCCTGTAAAATAAGGCAAAGAAAAACGATAAAATCAATATTCAAAATACTTGCTGAGTTTGAACGAAGACCTCTTCCTCGAATGGGAAATATGTAAAAGTTTCATCGGCAAGGCAGGCTACAAAAACGAACAAAGAACATTTTTTCCTTTTTTTTCTTGACATCAGTAAAAGCATCGAAAGCGCAATAGTAATTGTAAAAACTTTGACGGAATGCCAAAATACTTGACAATACTGCCAACAAAGATGCCGTTGGTGAAATGACCTCTTGAGATAATGTTAAATAAGTGTTCGCTCCCCAACACACAAAGCCTGCAAAGAGGCGGTCACTGTCATGAAACTATCAACAAATTACAAGACGCCTGAATCGTAGCCACCAGTAGTATTAACACGCCGTAATTAATGATACGCATCAGTTTGCTCTGAGTGTGAAACCGTATTGATTTTAATCAATAAATTTTCTCAGTCGTCGCAATGCAGTCCAAATGATAACATTGATTGATTTTTTTTTCATGGACGTTATATTATCTGTTGATAACGTTCTTCCGAAAGTGAAATTATGATCACTATTTACATTATTCGGACTATTGTCTTCATCTTTGTCGCCATATTTATTACAACGTTTCGGCCGTTGGACGCTCCGGCCTTCTTCAAGTGGTTGGAATGTCGAATTGTGAGTCTGTGCTAGAAAAAATGCATTCTTGCACCCAGTTAGTATGAAAAGGTTTGGTTCAAACAGGCACTTCCTAACGGTTCTCTGTTTAATCTATTCTGATGCTGCCATAAACAGCAGCGATTCGATTAAAGCATTAATTTGTGAATTTGGTTGGTTGGTAATTATGAGTTCAATCCCCGTTTCTGCAATTGCAGGCTTAGACTCTGTGGAAACGGTAGGCATTAACTGAGCAGAATAATGAGAACACAGCGATATCTATAGATATAGACAACGAAATAAGAACAATCTACACCTTTGCATTAAATAAATCTTTCAGTCAGAAATTCCCTGAAGCTTACTCTGATTGACAGACACTAGAATGTCGAACTCTACCCTTTATTTCGCTCACTGGGCTTCACTGTTCTATGTTCAGGTGGCATGAATAATGGATGTCAGTTATCAGTTATCTCCTATTAATTCCCCTCTCCAGGTTCTCTACTGCCTTAACCAGGTATTGAACTCACACTCTTTGAGTCCTGTCACTGGATCTAACCAATGCCTTTATCCATTGTGCCATGTGTCCTTATGTCCATGTGAAATTATGATATTTATATCAAATTTGATAAGAGGACAGCAGCAAGAGATGAAAGAAATGGACATTTCATGTCTTTTAATTATTATAGGGATATATCTGATTCTTAGTAC